AAGGACTAAGAACTGGTGGCCAGGAGCAGACTTGCAGAATGTGCCCTTTGGAGATGTAATTTATTATATATGCCTGAGTGGGTTTTTCTGTTTGTTTGTTTTTTAAAAAAGCTAAAGTGGATAGAGAGAAATACTGTTAACTGATGGTATATGGAGGAGATTTGTTGAATGTAAAACTGATGATGTGCCCTGTAAACTTTCACCCAATCCACAATAAAAACCTTGTATTAAAAAAAAAAAAATGGTTTTAACAATAAAATGAAGCATACACTGTCCAATAAGGAGCTACACTAGTCCCTACCCTTATGGAAGGGCAAGTCCACATGGCAGAGCCTGCTCCTGGCAGGTGCTCCTGAGGGCTGCTGACCGTGCCCATCCTGTGTGGGTGCTGGGAGGTAGCTTAGCCTTGAACAGACTCTGACCTTGATTTTGGGACTAAGGTAAGAGATGGCCCTAGAGGCCAAGCAGACGAGCCCACAGACAGGAGACAGCCTCGGCAGTACCAACCCCACGCTGTGTGTCCAGCCACGGGGGTCAGGCATCTGGACATCCGTTCTCCGGGCTTACCTAGCAAACCTCCATAGGAAGACGTCTGCTTGGGCGGCACGCCGAAGAAGAGCTGTCCTATCCTGTCGAGGTACTGCAAGAGAAAAGACACGAGTCACTGGGAAGCAGAAGCGGGTCGGGGCCCTCTTGCCCACTTTTCCTCTGGGTCGTGAGGGTCCTGTGGACTGGAAGGTTTCCTTCCCACTCTCTCGCTCAATGCCCCACAGTCTAAATGGCTGGATCCCACCCCACTGAGGCACTCACCTCATTGTACATTGGATCCCTCCTGAGAGACGGCTGATACTGCTCACACAACACTGTAAATACAGTCAGTTTGCCTCTAAAATAGAAGGAAATGAGAAACCAAACATTTATTTCTAAATAGCAAGTAAATGAGCCATACACACGTGCACACTCCCCACACGACAGTGCTTACCCGTCCACAGCCAGCAGCAGGAACCAGATGAAGTTCAGCAGGGGCTGTCCAAACGGAGGCCCACCCTCAATGGACGGATGCTTCTGTGTATATGTGGTGAATACCACCGATGCACTGCTTTTGTTTTTCAAACAGAGGAACCTGGAATAAGAGCTTCCTGTAAGTGGGAACCCTGGAGGAAGAGACAAGTTTCTCTGCAGCCTTCCTAAAAAGTGGGGACTCTGGAGGGATAACCTGGCTCTTCTCCCCGTCCCCCAGCCCCCCAGAGCAGAAGGTCTCGGCTCTCTACAGCCACCAGCCATGGGTGCTCACTAGCTGGCAGGCCCCTCACTGGAATTAGGCTGGGAGAGGTCAGGTGGCACTCAGGGTGACCATGCTGCCAACAGACTGGCCAAGAACTTGCACCGCATCCTGACCAGGAACTGAACTGGCCCCCTCCCAGCACCTGTTTGCTGGTTCGGCTTCAGAAGCACCCAGAGGCTGGGGGCCCGTGCTGCACTGGGCTGGGTGCTCCCATTCCCACCCCACAGAGCACCTTTTCCAGATGGAGTTCATGGAGATGTGCCCCAGGTCATGCTTTTTCAGGATGTGAAGGAAAACCCACAAAAAGAGAGCTGAGCAATCCCCTGCTCTGTCTACAGAAAAACCCAAACCGCCTGCCGAGAAGGCCCGGTCCGTGAGTTTGGGACCACAAACAACAGCTCTTCATTTTGGAGTTCTGGTGCAGCTCAGGGGGTTAGCAAGGGACAGCATGACCCCTGGCAGAGTCCTGCCCCAAATTCCACAAAGCCAATCTGATTCCCACACTAGCCCACCAAGTTGAGGCTTCCTGGGAGGAAACAACTTGACTCTCAGACAAGTGTGTCAGGAGGAAAGAGGTGGAGAGTCGGGTTTGGGGAAGCAGTTCAGGAGGCCCACACACATGTCCACTGTGTGACTCCTTCAACACCCGTCTCCTTTCAGGGTGGTGTCTGAAAGGAGCAGTGAGGAGGAGGTGCCTGATGGGCACGGTGGGCCCAGGCCTGGGGTACAAGGTGGGTACATATGTCAGGATGTCATGCCACAGTGCTGAGCTGGCACTGCTCCTCGGTAGCACATGGGAGGAGGCTGAAGTGGGGAGAGAGGTTGGGAATTGTGGGTAAGAGAGGACAGAAGGCCAACCTAATGAGCAGACACTGGACCACCTATGTGACAGCTGAGCACAGTGTCTGAACGCCCGGGACCCAGAGCCAGGGTGCAGACAGGCCCTGATTTAGCTGGTACAGCGCAGAGTACCTACTGGAGCACAGCCTGAGCCACAAACATGTCCACTTCGCTGCGGAAACCGCGGGTCGTCGAGTACTCCACCAGCATGTTGGCACAGCCCTCTCCATCGGCAGAGTGAAGGAAGTGGTACCGGGACTCACAATAGTTCTGCTCTGTGGGGGAGACAACACACCCGTGTGCACACAGTGTGGGGACAGCAGGCCTGTCTCTGTGGGGAGACGACACATCTGTGTGCACATAGCGTGGGGACAGCAGGCCTGTCTCTGGGGAGATGACACATCTGTGTGCACATAGCGTGGGGACAGCAGGCCTGTCTCTGTGGGGGAGACAACACACCCATGTGCACACAATGTGGGTACAGCAGGCCTATGTTGTGTTCTACGTGGGGCACCCGTGGGCAACAGTAATCCCCTTCGAATGTGCACAGTGGCTCCACACGTTTCATCAGAGCCCCCGGGGCACAACTAACAACCCAGAAGGTGGGAGTCACTCAGCTACCGAGCCTTGTCTGGGAGGGTGTGCAGTCCCAGGTCCACCATGGTGACACGACAGGCTGCTCGACACTGAGCTAAGGGCACATACAGACTGGACTCACTGGACAGCCCGCAGAGACACCAGCCTGTCCCACAAAGGCAATCAGATTCCAACAGCAGCCAACCAATGCTGCGTGCCTACCTTTCCACAGGGTGAGGGCCAGCAGCTGGTGCAGCCTGGGGTGGCCCAGCTTCCCGGATCCACCCCCTGACCACTTCAGGGCTCGGGATACAAAGGCCACTCGCTCTGGGGAGTTGGGGTCCATCAAACTAAACAGCTTGGCCAGGTTTCCTGAAAGAACAGAGTCTGAACTCAGCAGCCGAGACATAAACAGAGAACTGCAACTGTGTCCCCAGACAGCGGGGTGCACCGACACCCTGCTTAGCACACCCTCCTGGCACCCACTGCAGCAGCAGCCACAGGCTCCCAGACCAAGCCCTTTCCCACCTCACTGCCCACCATGCTGGAAGCGGAGCAGAAGGGTGGAGGGTGGGAGCTAGAGACCCTGATGGCACACAGCCAGGAAGTGACGCACCAGCTGGGTCCAGGGACATAGCACCCAACCTCCTGCCTGGTGAGGCTCTGAGGAGCAGGGACCCCCTCCTGTCCTCCTGGCTGTATAACCCCTGGTCAGAACAGCCAACAAGTCACATCCCTGTGGTTGCAGCCCACCTCACAGCTTCAGGGAGGCCACGTGCACTGCTCATGCCCACAGCACGCTTCCCCCCGGGCTGGGGAGAGGGTGGCTGTGGACCGACTCACCTAGCAGGTCGTCGGTTACATCCACCTCGGCCTTCTCCAGCGACTCCAGGACCAGCATGGACAGGTCTGCAGCGCTGTTCTGCTACAGACACATCAACGGGGGAGAGTCAGAGCTAGTGCACCTCCACAAAGATGAGGCAGCCCAGAACACCCCAACTTTTGAAAGGAGTTGGGCCCTGATGACCAAGGAAGAAGGTGGTGTGAGGACTGTTCTGACATGGACGTTCTCAGCACATAACACCCACCAAATAAGGGGATGGGACCATGCAAATGAGGTGCATGTGGTCTGACAATAGGATTGGACCGTTTTCAATAATACAAACAAGGTGACTGGAGCCCTGTGAAGTTAAAATGAGTCACCTCAATCAGAGGCGGAAAAGCGGGTCTCACCACCACCAGGAAAGAAGAGGCAGGGGCAGAGCCTGTCTTTGGGACCTGGGGTCCCTGGGCTGAGAAACCCTTAGTCCCAGGAGACAGAGAGGAGCTATAACATGGAAGACAGTGGGAGACAGGTGTGTAACAGCCAGGGTGACAATGAGGTGAGACAGCAGGAACTGGGAGACAGGTTTGAGACCCACGGGCCCAACAGCAGGGCCCTGTGGCCGAGTGTGAGAGGCTGTCCTGTCTGAGGCCTGCACTGTGAGCTTGCTCTGTGGACCCAGCACAGTGCTATGGGAGGGACGGCTGGGGCTGGAGCTGGGAAAGAGCTTACAGAGGAGGCCTGTAAGAGCTCCACCTCGGGCACCAAACCACATAGTCCTCGTCCCTGCTGTGAAGTCACCTGCGCCACCACTTCTACAGAGGGTCAAGGGAAAGGCACATGCAGCCCCCACAACGGCATGAGCGAGGCTGTCCCAGGGGAGCATGGAGCAGCTCTGTTGAATGGGCGTCTCCAGCACAGTTAGGCATGAATGGGGACAGAGTCCTACTTACCTGTCCATGGCTGAAGAAGAGCAGCGCCCCTGAATACATCAGCTCGCGGGCTTCCGTGTGCTTGCCCTGTGACATGTACCTGTGGCAGAGAGAGGCTGGTGAGCCAAGCTGACTGCACGTGACACCCCACACATATGGTAAAAAACATGGCTTAGAAGGCTACGTGACAGAGAACGTTCTCAATAACCTACGAGTGTCCCTCTGTACACATAGGACGTGGAGGAGCAAGCCTAAGCCTTTATTAAAGCTACACCCGAGCTATGGGGGCTGATAGAAGAGAAAACCTGTCCCGAGCATTTCACTAGGCAGGGGCTCCTGGGTGACAGGCTCCATGACAGGACCTCAAGTCCAGTCCCCAGACGGTGGGGAGAGTGCAGAGTACTTGACCACTGTGGTCCCTGATGCCACATGGCAGGTCTGTGGGCTTTATAGGCGGGAGGACCAGAGCCCCTGACTCCAGCAGAAGGAGCAGGGGAGACAGGGCCCCGCTGTTCCTCCAGTGGCGGCAGACTCACATCCCATGAGGAGAGCCAGGAGGGTGGCTGAGGCAGATACAGCAGGTGCACTGGGGTCCACCGGAGCAGGGACTACTGTGAGGATGGCGGGCAGGCTGGGACCGATTACGAATGCCGCCATATACTGTGTTCACTCCTGACCACCAGATCCCAGAACACGAGACGCCAGGTGGAGTTCTGACTCTCAGTGGCTGTATGTTCAGATTAATGATTAGAAGAGATAGTACCATGACCAACGTAGGTATTCTAGCCAGTATTTCATGACCAAGTCTGAAACAGCTGAGTGACAAAACCGCTAAGCACAAGATGTACAGGAGACATAATGACCCTAAGTTAGGGATGAAGATCAAGTACAGGCTGGAGTAGGACGAGGTGGCAGACAGCCACCTCGTTGTCCTGCAGTCTCGCCAGTCCTCACGGCCACTCCTGACACTGGTCACTTGGGTTGTCCTCACATATGCACACACATACACACTCTTGGGCTTACGTCCTGATGCCTGATGCGTGACAAGCCTGGCACACCAGCTCCAGGTGCTTGGCACATGTGATGCTACAACCATAGTCAGGGAATCGTGAGTGCTTATCTCCAGGGCGACCCCTGGAGTTCAGCAGTTCAAGCCCACCAGCTGCTCCTTGGGAGAAAGGTGACAACCTTGGAAACCCCATGGGGCAGTTCTCCTCTGTCCTACATGGTGAGCTAGAATCTACTCAAAAGGTTGGGTTTCAGTTTCAACCCACACAGCTCCAAGCACATCCTGGGGTGGAGGCAGATGTAGCCAAACATCACAGAGGGTGGCTTCTATTGTCTCCTTTTGAACTCAGCAACACCCCACTTACAGCAAAGACACAGCACAATGCCAATGGCGGCTGTGACGGCGGGTCTGCTGTCAAACTGGGGTGGACCTGAGAAGAGTGGCCTCAGGGCAAATCCCAAGAAGCTATGCTGGCTAGGCCACCCCCAGCCTATCCTTTGGACTTGTGGCTAGGAGGGACTCATCACTGTGTTGGATGAAGTGGACAAGATAGACAGCTCAGACATACTGGTGGCTGGGTGGTATTCTGTTCTGTTGGAGCTAAAGTGGCCCCGGGCAGAGCTGACTGGAGAGCAGTGAGATTCAAGAGTGATTTGTCACAGCCCTGTCACGTGGAAGTTGTGAACGTGAAGCTCAGCTAGGACCAAACACCTGTCACTCACTACGTACAAGCCTGAGGGCTGGTTTCCACCAAATGAGAAAGGCATTTTGCAGCTCAGCTACCTGTACCGGATTTACGGTGTGCTCAGAGTCAATCAAGGAGCTCTGGGGGCACGCTGATGGGCATCAGGCTGCTGACTGGAAAGACTGGCAGTTCAAACCCAACAGCTGCTCTGTGGAAGAAAGACGGGGCTGCCTGCTTCTGTAAAATTTACAGCCTTGGAAACCCTATGGGGCAGTTCTACCTCATCATACAAGGTCACTAAGAGTTGGAATTACCCGGACAACAGTAGATTTGGTTTCTGAGTAAAGATCAATAAATCCAAACTTTGGGGAACTTTCGATCAATAAAGCTCAGAACCAGGATTAATGTTTTCCTGTGAGATTATGAATTGGGCTGCTAACCTCAGGGTCAGTAGTACAAAAATACCAGCTGTTTCATGGGAGAAAAATGAGGCTTTCTGCTCCTGTAAAGAATGAAAGGTTCTGCTCTCAGAAGCCCTGTCCAGGGTCACTATGAGTTGGAACCGACTCCACAGCACATAACAACAATAACAACAACAACAACGAGATTAGTCAGGGATCCAAACGGCCACCTACACTCAGACCCTATTTCTGCCAGGGGGATCTGTGAGACCACCACGAGGAACCCCTACAAATAAAGAAACACTCCAGAGCAGTAACACCGGCCAGGACAGAGGACAGCTGGTCAACACACTGTGCCTTTTCACAGCACAAATAAAGAGTTGTAATTAATGATGTACCATCCATTGTGTGACTGGCTTGGGGACTGGTAATTCCAGATATTTCGTCTGCATTATGTCGTATCCTTCCCTGTAATAACCCAGTGGCTCACCTGCCTGTATGACCATCTCAGGAAACAGTACCAGGTCAGAGAGGCATGGGAGACTGCCCTTAAACCTAAACCCGGGACCACCACTGAGCTCTCCCAATACCCTCGCCTAGGAAATACAAAAACCTGAGCTTAGATGTGTGATCACTAGACCTACTGTGAGGTGTCACTGAGTCTGTTCTGACTCAGTGAGTTCTGACTCACAGCGACCCTGTTCTGACTCACAGAGACGACTCTATGCATACCAGGACGAAACACTGCCCAGTCCTGCGCCATCCTCACAATTGTTGCTATGTTTGACACCAGTGCTCCAGCCACTCTTCAGTCCATCTGGTCTTTCTCTTTTTCACCGACCTTCCACTTACCAAGCACCATGTCCGTGTTGAGGGACTGGTCCCTCCTAACAACATGTCCAGATCTGGCTGCCCTTAAATATGACACCGACTCACTGAGAATTACATTAAGAGCGCACACAACAGGATGAATGCTATTCAACTATCTCTAAGCACCCCCAAGTTCCAGATGACGACCACATCCATAAAGGAACCATCGTTTGAGGCTGCTGTCTGATGACGGCCCATCCACTCCGACTCAGGTCCAGAGCTGGGCTCCTTACGGTTTTCAAGGCTGGGACTTATAAGGGAACATCACCAGGTCTTTCTTCCGCGGCATCTCAGTGTGGGTTGGAACCATCATCCTTTTGGCGAGTCAGAAAGTGTGAACAGTTTGTGTCACCATCCAGGGGACCACAAGTAGTTGTTGTTGTTGTTCAGTGCCGTCGAGTTGGTTCCGACCCATAGCGACCCTGAACCGGGTTTCCGAGGCTGTAAATCTTTACGGGAGCAGAAAGCCTCATCTTTCTCTCGCGGAGCAGCTGGTAGTTTCAAACTGCTGACCTTGCGGTTCACAGCCAGATTCATAACCACTACGCTACCAGAGCTCCTTAGATTCAGGTATAATTCACGAGAACGTCTTAAGACACTGAGAACGACTTAGAACGGTAGCAGGGTGGGTGGCGGCCCAAAGCGACCATGCGCCCGGGTCCAATGCCAACAGGTGGCCGGTGTCTGGGCGTCACGTGGCGGCGGCCCCACTTGGGCTGCGCAGGTGTGGCGGGACCCCTGGGTTTTGTGGAACAGCTGACCGTGGCCTGCAGTGGGTGTACGACTTGGGGGCCTGCTGCGAGGACGAGGCTGAGCATGAGGCCCAGCGCTGGAACCCCGAGCCCGACCACTCGGCTGGTGGCCCCCGGCCACTCACCCAGCTTGCCCCGGGGACGGGCAGCGGCGCGGGCCAATGGGAGAGCGGGGGATATGGGACACTGCCAATGGAAATGCGCGGGGCGGGCCCTCGCGAGCGGCCGAGGCGGAAAGCCCGGCGGGGCCCGGTACCTGAAAAAGAGGGTCCGGTACATCTGGTGGGCCTCGTAGTAGTCGCCCTTCTCCACGCTGGCGCGTAGTTTGCCCTCCACGCGTTGGACGCCACCACGATTGCGGGCGCCGTTGCGGGCGCCCTCCTGCTCGGGCATCGCCGCCGCCATCGGGCCGGCGCTCCGAGCAGGCGCTGAGTTGAGGCGGCGCGACCGCGGGCCCTCCCGGCTTCCGTCCGCGCGACGCCGCTACGGTGGCCGGCCGAGCGCGTGAGGGCACGTGACCACGTTGTCCACGTGACCGGACCGCCCATGTGACCGCGGGAGGGGCGCAGCCGGCAACGCCTAGCCAAGGGGAGGGATGGAGTGCTCACGCCACAATCGCGAACGCAGTGGGCGGGGAAACAGGCCCTGGGCGGATTGGGATGCGCCCTGCGGCGCGGGGCGGAGATCTTGGGGCACGTTGCCTAATAGCTTTAGAGGCTTTGGCTCTGTCTCCCACTGCTCTGTCAGAGACTTTCGCCTCTGCCCCGCATGTCCCCTCCTACCAGGCAGTGCCAAATTCTGAATGATGACGGGATATGTCTTTACTTGACCGTTGTTTCGGGACAAACACAAATATTCACGTTACGCTTACCCCTTGGAGCCCTGAAGGGTCGGTCACCTCCTGTATATTGTATCTAAAATTGAACGTGTACGACAAGGCAACAGAAATAAGGCTGGGCTTGTGTCAGAGAAGTTGAAAAGGAGTTTGATTTGAAGGCCCCTTTGGGTCACTTTTTGACTCTGAAGGGGTCGGGAAACCAGATACTAAAGGGAGGGCTCCTTAGTCTGGCCCCAGAACCTTGGAATGTCGTTTTTGGGTTTTTCACATTCATGTTGTTAGGTGCTGTGGAGCTGGTTCCGACTCATAGTGACCCTGCATAGAGTTTCCGAGGAATGGCTGGTGAGTTTGAAATACGGACCTTGTGGTTCAAATGGCCTTTGGGTCCAGTGCTTAGCCTACAGTCAGAACTGACTCCATGACACTTAGCAACAACGTCGTGGTATGTAGAATTTATGAACCCACATCTGTGGCGCTGTGGGTTAATGCGCCAGACTGCGAAGCTGTTTGAACTGCAAGGTCGGCGGTTCAAGCTCATCAGCTGCTCCTCGGGTCGCTATGGGTCGGGCACTTAACAACAACAGTATCAATGGATTTGGCGTTTTGGTGTGGCGCTGCAAGTTACTGTGTTGGATTGCAAAGTTGGTTTGAACCGCAAGGTTCAAACTTACCAGCTGTTACTCGAAGCCCCTATACAGAGTTGCTATGGGTCGGAATCGATTCATCGGCACATAACAACAACAATAACTTTGGAGAATGAGGTTGTCATTAAAGGAAAAGAAGAAAATTCGGAAAAGGCTTCTGTTAAAGTTGTGACTAATAATGAAGTTCAATGTGGAAATATTTTATCAGTTTTTGTAGCATTCATATTGTTTAAGAACTATTAAAGCAATTAAAGCATATTCTATGATTAAAACGAATAATGAACATTTCTAAGGATTCTGTATAGTCTTGTATGGCAGGTACATGGGAAGGAGGGACACCAACCCTAGTGACACATCAGGGACTCATCAGGGACCCACCCACCAAATGTACTGAGAAGGTGGTCTCATGTGTCTGCTGCCCATTGAGATCTCAGCTCGCTTGGAACTGCCTCTAGCTGCCCTGTGGGTGAGTGAAGTGGTCTGGGATCCAGGTAGACACACACTTGGTGGCTGAGTGTTAGGGGTACTCGAACGGTTCTGGTTCCTTCTTAGGGCAATTCTACCAAAGCCACTGCTGCTTCCCCACTGAGGACACTGGCCCAGGGGTGATTGGTGAGACTTTGGGAAAGGGGTGAAGACTGAGAGACCAGACAGTGTGACTCCTAGCCAGCACATAGCCTCCTGCTTGTTAAGTTCCATCAAGTCAGTTCCGACTCAGCCTATGTAGGGCTTCCAAGGAAAGGCTAGTGGGTTTGAACCGTCAACCTTGAGGCGAGCAATTCAGTGCTTATCCTACAACACCACACCGTCTCGAGGCCTCCTACTAAATGCCAAATTCAGGGGATTCAACTCTGCCTCCTTCTGCTGCCTCTAAGCTCCCTGGCTCCTTTGTTATCTGCTCCTGGCTACATCCTCCTCTAGGGACACCCACTAGCACATCCTGCTAAGTCCCAAGGAAAACTAAACATGAGTAGCCACCGCTGGAATGCAAGGTACTAGGTATGCATTCTTTCTTGCACTAACTAACCTCATTTGACCAATGAGAAAATTGAGGCTCAAAGAATTTACCAAGGTCACACTTGTAAAAGTGGGTGAACTGCACTTAAAACTCAGCTGTCCCTCACTCCCAGCTTATGACTTGGAACAAATTGCTCCCCTTTTCAAGCCTCAATTTCCTCATCTGTTGGATGGGCCAATCTTTCTCTGATGGTAGTTGTGAGGGCTAATTTATGTGTCCTATATGGGGTTTCTGAGGCATGGTGTAGGGAGGCAAATTCATTTTGTACAACCCGCAATCAGAGTGGTTTTCACATTTTAAAAAATTAATTAGTTGAAAAGAAATCCAAAGGAATATTGGATTTGACATAAACATTATGTGAAATGCAGCTATCAGTATTTATAGTTTTATTGGCACTTAGGCCACACTTGATCATATGCTATCTCTTGAAACGGTTGAACATTAACCATTTCCTTTTGGTAAAATGACTGTGTATTCCTTCCATCTTCTCTTGATGCTTTCTGCATCATTCGATAATTTGTCCAGAGAATCTTTCAATAACGAAAGTCGAGGTTTGAATTTTTTCCTCAGTTCCCCCAGCTTGAGAAATGCTGAGCGTGTTCTTCCTTTTTGGTTTTCTGATTCCAGATCTTTGCACATTTTGTTGCAATATTTGGCTTTATCTTCTCAAACTGATCTTTGAAATTTTCTGTTCAGCTCTTGGACCTCCTCATTTCTTCCATGTGCTTTAGCATCTCTACACTGAGAGCAAGTTTCAGTGTCTCTTCTGACATCCATTTTGACCTTTTCCTTCTTTCTTGTCTTCTTAATGACTTTTTGCTCTCTTCATGTATGATGTTGATGTCATTCCACAACTCTTCTGGTCTTTGGTCTTTAGTGTTTAATGTATCAAATCTGTTCTTCAGATGATCTCTAAATTCATGTGGGATATATTCAAGTTAATATTTTGGCTCTCGTGGACTTATTTTCATTTTCTTCAGCTTTAGTTTGAATTTGCATATGAGTAATTGGTGGTCTGTTCCACAGTCTGCCCTGGCCTTGTTTTCACTGATGATATGGAGCTTTTCCATCTTCTCTTTCCGCAGATGTAGTTAATTTGATTTCTATGCATTCCATCTGATGAGGTCCATGTGTATAGTTGTCTCTTATGTTGTCTAAAGAAGGTATTTGAAATGAACAATTCATTGATTTTGCAGAATTCTATCATGCGATCTCCAGCATCTTTTCTATCACCAGGGCCATATTTTCCAACTACTAATCCTTCCTGTTTACATTCCAATCACCAGTAATGAGCAATACATCTTGATTGCATGTTTGATCAATTTCAGATTGAAGAAGTTGGTAGAGTTCTTTTATTTCATCCTCACTGGCTTTAGTGGTTGCGCAAATTTGAATAATAGTGGTATTAACTGGGCTTCCCTGTAGGCTCATGGATATTATCCTATCACAGACAGCATTGTACCTCATGACTGATCTGGATATGTTCTTTTTGACAATAAATGCAACACTATTCCTCTTCAATTTGTCATTCCTGGCATAGTAAACCATGTGGTTGTCAGATTCAAAATGGCCAATATCAGTCCATTTCAGCTCACTAATGCCTAAGATATTGATGTTTATGCATTCCATTTCATTTTTGACAACTTCCAACTTTCCCAGATTCATACTTCGTACATTCCATGTTCCGATTTTCAGTGGATGTTTACAGCTGTTTCTCTTCATTTTGAGTTGTGCCCCATCAGCAAATGAAGGTCTCACAGGCTTTACTCCATTCACGTCATCACAGTCAACTCTACTTTGCAGCTCTTCCCCAGTAGCATTTTGAGTGTCTTCTAACCTGAGGGGCCCATTTTCCCACACTGTATCTGACAGTGTTTCTCTGCTATTCATAAGGTTTTCAGTGACTAAATATTCTGAAGTAGTTCATCACTCCTTCTTCCTAGTCTGTCTTCATCTGGTAGCTCATCTGAAACCTGTCCACCATATATATGATCAAGAGCCAATGATACTGAAGAAGGAAGTCCAAGGTGCATTGAAGGAATTGGCAAAGAACAAGGCACCAGGAATTGATGGAAAATTGAAATCTTTCTAGAAAGTGAGGCGGCACAGGAGGCACTCACTTATCTCTGCCAAGAAATTTGGAAGACAACTATCTGGCCGACTGATTTGAAGAGATCCGTATTTGTGTCCATTCCAAAGAGAGGTGACCCAATGGAATGTGGATATCGGACAGTATCTTTGATATACCATGAGTAAAGTGTTACTTAAAGATAATACAGAAACGGCTGCAAGCATACATTGACAGAGAACTTCCAGAGGTTCAAGCAGGATTCTGAAGAGGCCGTGGAATAAGGGATATCATTGCTGATGTCCGATGGATCTTGGCTGAAAGCAGAGAATATCAGAAAGATGTTTACCTGTGCTTTATTGACTAGGCAAAGGCTTTCGATTGTGTGGATCATGACAAGCTATGGACAACATTGCGAAGTATGAATATTCCACCAGAACACTTAATTGAGTTCATGAGGAATCTGTACCTGGGCCAAGAAGAGGCAGTTGTTTGAACAGAACATGGGAACACGGAATGGTTTAAGATTAAGAAAGGTGTGCGACAAGGTTGTATTCTTTCACCATACTTATTCAACCTGTATGCTGAGCAAATAATACGAGAAGCTGGGTTACATGAAAAAAAACATGGCATCAGGATTGGAAGAAGACTCATTAATAACCTGCAATATGCAGATGGTACAACTTTGCTTGCTGAAAGTGAAGAGGACTTAAAACATTTACTGATGAAGATCAAAGAGCACAGCCTTCAGTATGGATTACATCTCAATGTAAAGAAAACAAAAATCCTCACCACTGGACCAATAAACAACATTCTTATCAATGGAGAAAAGATTGAAGTTGTCAAGGACTTCATTCTTCTTGGATCAACTATCAACACTCAAGGAAGCAGCAGTCAAGAGATCAAACGACGTATTACATTAGGCAAATCTGCTGCACAAGAACTTTTAAAAGTGTTGAAGAGCAAAGATGTCAGCTTGAGGACTAAGGTGTGCCTGACCCAAGCCATGGTATTTTCAATAAACTCTTATGCATGCAAAAGCTGGACAGTGAATAAGGAAGATCGTAGAATTGATGCCTTTGAATTGTGATGTTGGAGGAGAATATTGAAAGTGCCATGGACTGCCAAAAGAACCAATAGATCCGTGTTGGAAAAGGTGCTGCCAGAGTACTCCTTGGAGGTCAGGATGGTCAAACTTTGTCTCTCATACTTTGGACATATTGTCAGGAGGGACCAGTTGCTGGAGAAGGATATCCTGTTTGGTAAGGTGGAGGGTCAGAGAAAAAGAGGAAGACCCCCAACGAGATGGATTGGCCAAGTGGCGGCATCCATGGACTCAAGCGTGGCAACAGTAGTGAGGTTGGCCCAGGATCGGGCAGTGTTTCGTTCTGCTGTGCATAGGGTCACTATGAGTTGGTGCCGACTCAATAGCACCTAACAACAGACCACACTTACTTATATTTATAGTCTGAGTAGTTGAGTTTGGCCTACAGCCATTTGCCACCCGGTCCTTTCAGAGCTAGCGCTGAGCCCAGGTCAGTGGCTCAGTGTTCTTCCTCTCCTGTCTCCCCACACCCCAGCCTCACTTCTCTCTTCAGCTTTACCTAGGCAGATCTCCAATGTTTATACAGGTTTTACAGGTTGGTACTTTGCATATGGCTATTTCATATTTGTCAGGTTATTCCCTATGAAATCGCTGATATCCTACAGTGACGGCAATCTCCTATGCTGTTGGTGTGGGGGCCTTAAGTGATCTACGCACAATAGAAGTACGTACCGCTTGGTGTCACGCCATCCTCACAACTGTTATGAACCTGTTGTTGTAGCTACTGTGTCAACCCATCTCTTGGGGAGTCTTCCTTTTTCAATGACCAAGCAGGATGTGCTTCTTCAAGGACCCGTCCCTACTGATAACATGTCTGAAGTATGTGAGACAAAGCCTCACCATCCTGGCTTCTAAGGACAATATTGGCTGTACTTCTTCCAACACAGATTTGTTCTTCTGGCAGCCTATGATCTTTTATTCTTCACTAATATTCAAATACATCCATTCCTCCTTCTTCAGTCTCTTGGTCTGGTCTCAAAGGCCTGCACTGACTGCAGTTCTGAAGGTGGAGAGTGCCTGACACTTTAGTATCTAAGGTGCTGGACTTGCAAGCAACGGTCCACATCAGTGTCTGTCTGGGGGCAGAAGCCCATGAGCCAGGTCTGGCCCACCACCGGTTTTTATTGTATTGTTAGCACATGACTACATCTATTAGTTCACAAAGAGTTGAAGTTGGCTTCTGTACTACTATGTCAGACAAGTTGTGACAGAAATTACTGACCTGCAAAGCTGAAAATACTTGCAAGTTGCTGCTTTGCAGAAAAAAATCTGCCAGTGTGTAGTGTTGCTATTCTGGTCTCTAATGTTAGCCGTTGGGAAGGTAAATGTTCTTAATCTTGTAAGTAGTGCTTTTTGCAACTGAGATGTAGTCTAATCTTATTTTCCTCTTTCAAAGTATCACAGGTAAAGAGCTAATTTCCCTAATACGCAGTATATTTTAAGCTTTTACAAATTGGTAAGAAAACGACAGACTACTATCCTAATAAAAGAACAGGATTAAGTCACCAACAGTCATCACAAGAGAGAGAGGGCTTCTTCACCCAAGTCCAACTGCTGGTGAGAGAACCACACTGACAGACAGACACTATGAGGCCTCACTCACACAGATGCAGACTCAAGTCTGGTCACAACAGTTGCATGCCCACCTGACCCCAAGGTACTACACGGTGTAAAGTAAAGCACGTGCTGGGGCCGAGGACAGCATGGTTATAGAAAAATGGCAGCAAACAGCCACAAATTGGGGACTGGCTACATCAATGTGGGCGACCCACATGTATAACACGAAGCATAATAAAGAAGAGAAGGAGGTTTTTCAATGATATGGAGGCCACCTCCAGACATAAAGCAACATGGCAACCAGTGACTTGTTGGTTCTCCAGTGCAGAGACAAAGGGAAGCGACACTGGGCTGTCAACAGCCTGTAGGGAGGAGCCACACTGACACCTGTCACTAGGGGCAGACACCACCGTCACCTCCCTGTCTTCTCAGTCAGCTGAGAGCAAAAGGTGCTGGCCCTACCTACCGCCATCAAAGGTAGAAAAGCTGACAACCTTGTTGATCCTCTGTCCCCCCGCCCCAGCCACCCTGGGCAGAAACCAGCAAATTGAGAAAACACATAGACTCTTTATTATCATCATTATTATTCATTTGAAATAGAACATGCAAGATTAAAAATTAAAACTCTTTATTTAAACATCTTAATAGCATCTTAACAATTTGGTGGCAGCAAAAGAAACACTACCAGATACCAATATGTTGAAAAGCATTTACAAAAATACATTGCACAAAGTCCTATCTTGCATCTTTAAAAATAAATTAATATTCAAAATATTTCCACCCAACCCTGAAATTTAGTCTTATATAATATGGAAATTCTGATGTATATATTTAACCTGTAATATATGAAACATTTGTACATGTTTATCCAACTAAACTGCATAGGCATTCATTCTAACTCTGAGAAGAGTGAAAACAGAAGCCGTCTGGAGAATGCTGTACAGAAAACCCCTCAGAAGCTCAGGCAGCACCATCGCTTCAGCCTCTTCTGGAAAGATGTCTACGGCACACACAAACAGTTTTCACCCAATGGAACGTAAATAGTTGTCTAGGTAAATGCCTCTAACACGTTCAGTGCCTTGCAGCCGTCTCATTTATCAAGTCTGCTGAATTTAGTGGTCTACATGTTAAATATCAATTGTGACCTAAATGGGTTTTGAAAGAACCAGGTAGAGGCCGGCAGCCATGGAAGGCAGGGGGTCCCAGTAGAAAACTGCTGCTGGGGCGAAGGTCAGCTGTGGAGTGAGTTAGGTGCTTGCCACAATGGACAATGATATTTTGAAAACTATCGGTGAAGTAAAAACCCAGCCTTAAAAATGTCTAGAGCATATTAGTGTTCCCTTTGTAGCAAAATTCAAAATGAACCTGGAAAAAAATCCCAAAAGACAAGATTCTGGGTCTCATTCACACTTGGGACCCAAGACCTGGATGAGTGTTATGTGTTTCCACTTAGACCCCTCCCTCACACTAGACTCGCTCGCGTCAACCCACAATGAAAATGGAGCTCCTGTCTTCTAGACAGACAGTAGTACGCCATGTCCTCACTTGGAAAACCCTTCTCAGAAGCAAGCACAAACGAAGCAGAAAAACCAGTCTGAACTGTCCCTCCACCGAGTGGCGTGAAAGAACTACTGGTGCTAAGCACAGGACGAGCCCCACCCCCGAGGGATGTGTTTAGAGCTCGGACATTTGGTGACACTGTTTTTCCCTGAAAGAAATGTGTGTTGGATTTAACAGATGGAACATACCCGCTGCTCACCAAAGTCCTTTAGAAGGTCTAGTGAGAGGCTAAACAACGCAGTTTTAATGACATGTCCAACAATTTAACCTCATTTGCTCTGTTCCTGATGTCAAGAAGATACAAATACAAGGAGCTTTCATGTTCCAAAGTGTCTCTGATACGTGCAGTTGGGTGGACACCACAGAGGCAGCTATAGCCAGAAGCTCTGTGGATGACACCCCAAGCACACGGGGGCCCCCCAAGGCCAGCACAGACACAATGCAGACTCGGCCTCCCAGGAGCTCTGGGAATGTTTATTTGGGGTGGTTGTGTCCTGTGACCAGACACACCCTTGGCCTGGAGGGCTCCAGTGTTCCAGGTGGTCCCGAGTCTGCGATCCCGAGTCTGCGAACGTACAGGGGTGTGGGCAGGGTCTCTACTTGATGGGTTCTCCATGAACTCTGAACCGATAGAGACATGTGTATTCTGGATGGCCCCAGTTAGAAAAGATCCGAAGTTCCACAATTTGGAAAGCTTTTTCAGGCCTTTTCTGAAATCAAGGATGGGGCAGAAATTAAAAATAAAGAAATAAAAAAATTCACGTCTTTCATATTAAAAAGCCAAACCCACTTACTTCCCCAACTGTGATAGTGAGTATGAAGCAGCAAAGTTAGAGATAGAATTCTCCAGCACACAGAGTGTCACCCCTCACAGGACAGACTTCCTGGGCTTTAGCACACACGACGTTAGTACATGCACCAAAAGCTGGGGGTCCTCCTCATGCTGGGAGCCTTACCAGTGTGTGGAACATCTGCAGTGACTCTCCATCTTGATCATATGTGAACTGTCCAAGAGGCTGCCCTTCTTCCTGATACTCACTGTCCAGTCCCTGAAACCAAGACCAGAGAGCCGTGAAATCTTGGAAAGCCTCCACACTGAGAGTAATGGAGTGGATGAGCGAGTTTTGTGTTGACTACGTGCTGTCAGGTCTGCTTCAGGGTTAGCACTTTGTTATGCTTCTCATGGGTTATCCCTCGCTCCCACAACCCCGTAATGCAGATTGGCTGTTGCTGTTAAGGGCCTGTGGAGGAGTCGATTCTGACTTAGTGACCCTGTACAACAGGGTTTCTGAGGCTGTAACTCTTTACAGGAGCAGAAAGCCTCATCGTTCTCCTGTTGAGGGTTGGTGGGATTGAACCGCCAACATTGTAGTTAGCAGTCCAGTGCTTATCCCACAGTGCCACCAGTGTTCTCCATGATATGGGAGATCTTATTTTTTGAAATAGAAAGCAATAGTCTCATCTGTATTTTCTAAAGGGGGAAAAAAGAGACCAGAAAACACACAATGGTGACATTCCTGAGTGCTGGGATTTCCCCCTGTAACATCTGTATATCAGAAAACCAAAATTTTTTTTTGTCATTTAGTTGCTAAGTATCACACAGTGGTCCTCACACAATTTACAGATTAACAAACCAGAGTGAAGAAGAAATACTTTCCAATCAGGCAAGTTTCAGTGGATCTGTTTAGTTGACACACACACTGGGCAGACACACTACACACACTGGGCACACACACTGGGCGGCCACACTAGACATCAATTAACAGATGACTTGTAAGCTACCCACTCTGGAAAAAGTACTAAAATGTTTCCCTCATCATTTCATCACAAATTAACAAACCGTGTCTGGCAGATGTACCTGAGTCATCTGCCTTTACCATTCACCTCTGTGAAATCCTCAGGAAGGGACAGCAACAGAGGTGTGCCCTTGAGTCACCAGCCAAACATACTCACATAAACCGCGAAGTCCTTGGGTGCGCTGGTGATGTTGCCTGTGGGCGAAAGCGTCTTTGGTATGTGCTCCAGAGTGAAGGTGGTCGGGTAGATGGGCATGGACAGCCTCACCACCAGATAGCCCTGGGAGCCCTTGAATGCCCAGCAGTTCCCAGGATAGATGTCGGGCTGCAGAAAAGCAAAGTGCTGAAGTCTCAGAGTTTGAACAAGCTCTCAACCCCTTAGAGAAGAGCACTACTGAGATGAAAAGCAAAACATCTTTACTGGCAGAAAACCCAAAGACCAATTGGGGAAAGGTCTTGGCAACTTCTCTGCAAATGGGCTACTATCCCTAGCATGTCTGGGAGCCTTTATGAAAGTGATGGTAACCCAAACCATACAGGGAACCAGGGCAGAGATACAAACAGGTACCAAAGAACACTAAAGTTACGCAGTCCATAGACATAGAAGGAAGCTTAACTTTACGTAATACTGTTGTTGTCAAGTCAGTGCCAACTCATAGCAGCTCTAGACTAGGTACAACAGAACGGAACCCGTCCCACACTGTCCTCACCCTTGTAGCCATGTTTATAGTAATGAGAGATATACAAATGGCGATGACTTTCTTCATCAGCACTTCTCGCCCAAGTCCTATTAACTGCTGCTCCGTCAACCATAGAGGGAGAGCTTCTGCCACCCTCTCTCTAAATAGGCCTTAGAACCTGGCTATCACTTAATATAATTAAAAACAAGATTTCTAAGGGGGAAAAAGGCAGTCCTTGGAAGACAGAAACAAATGTCTCTCACTAAATGCCAACCTGGTGGCAAAATCACAGAGACGCATAACCCCGTCCTGAGGGTCTCCAAGGTGACACATTTTTACGGAAGCAGATCATCCATCTTTATCCAGAGGAGCAGCTGCTGGGTTTGAATTGCTGACCTTTCGGTTTGCAGGACTCGAGAGGGCCCCCCAGACAGGCAGCATAAAACCCACCTGAATGACGACTCGTGGAGACTGGGAGAAGTACCAGAGAGGGATCCCAAACAGGCTGATGAGGGCCGTCTTGGTCTCGTACGTCTCAGAACAGCGTGTGCTCAGGATGCTGCCACCTGCAATCAAGGGTGATGCTCATGTCACCGTGGCAGTGGGTCTCCCAAAGAGTAACCCTACTGTAACTAGGTCTGGTTTTCCAAACTCAGTGTGGCTAGCCATTGCTTTAGGGGACACAATTGGTTCCTATGGAAAATAAACAACTGGAAATATGAGGGAGCTTCAAGAGTCTGTGGAAAACTCCATGATCTTTCTAATTCATTTCTCAACTTTCAGAAGCCCCTCACTGTGGCCCTCCTCTCCCCCCTCACTGTGGCCCTCCTCTCCCTCCCCTGAGAGAAGACAGGGCAGTAGCTCTGATGGACTCGGGTTCTCAGCCAGGTGCCAACAGGCTCAGAGGGCCTAATGAACAGCCTCATGACAGCTACAAACCAAAGGGCAAGGACAGGAATGGGCCTTCTTCTGGGGAGAGGAGACAGTCCAGAATGTTAGACTCTGGTGGGTGTATTAAATGTGGCTGAATCATTCATTTTAAATGGTGATGTTCACGTAATGTGTACTATGCGTTACTAATGTAACCATGATTTTAAAGACTTTGTCCCTAAACATGAAGGAGGGCCACAGCAGGCCCATGAGACCTCATCTGCCTGCTGCAGATGGAGGGGGAATATTCCTGCCGGACCTCATGTACAGCTCTCCACACCACATCGCTAGTTTTCTGCGCTCTTGCGGAAGCTGAGTGAATAGTGCTAGGTTCACAGTCTGAGTTCTGGCAGGACTCCCCCTGGCCCTGGATACGTTAACAATTCTGAGAGTCTCCTATCTCAAGGGGGCATCCTGGTCCACTAGCCCTCAAGCCTGAAATCTAAATGTTCAGTTCACATACAGTCAAGAGGCCTGCTCCAGACCTGAGTCTTTCTCTCACTCGGGTGACCAGGTGCGCCGCCCAGGAAGCCTGGGTGGTGCCTCAGCACATTCAGAAGTCAGCTCTATCCTGCAGATATGCTAACATGGGACTGCACACCAGAGGGCACTGTGTTCCTACTGGATTGGCCAGAATTCTCTGTCTACTCCCTGGGGAAGCCAGGCAGCCCTGCACCCCCCAGGAAACATGACTCCTGAAGGCCGGGTGCTGTGCTGCCCTCACTGCTGGACTCCTCTCAGTCCCGTGACACCGTGAGACGCTCAACAGCTGCTCAAAATCCCTACAGCCACCAGCAGCCCTTCTAACCCAAGCACGCCAGCCCAAGCAGAAACTCAGGAGGAAGGAAAGCCATAAGAGACATTTCTAGACTTTAAAACAGTTATACCATGTTCCTTCTTACACAGATTTAAGGTTCTGCTAACATGTGACCATTTTATCCTTGGTAACTGGCATGTCTTCCCAACTTACCACCAGACTCCAGAGCAAAGTCCACCATGCCCGTTCTGTCCTGGGAATACAGCTTCAAGGCATTGTTTACAATCACGCGTGCTTGCTAGAGGAGGGGACAGACGGGGAGAAGAGAGTGAGCCAGGGAGGGAGCAAAGGTCCTGCCTCACGGGGACGGAGCCGGCTGGGCTATGTGTGTGGTTTCCCCATGGGCCTCTCAGATGTCAGCTGAGCACTAGACTCCTGCACCACAAGGTGTCTGCAGTACAATGTGGGGATGGAGAGGCCTGGAGATACTGGACTAGAAATGCAAACCCCATCAGTGCTGACAGGAGGGCCACCAATCTGGGTCAGGGGCTCTCAAATGGGCTTATGATGAGTCCAGAAGCAGGGCTGGAAGGAGGTGCTGCGTCCTCAGGAAGTTCAATGTCACTCCAGAGCTGCCATCTCACAGGGGAGTTAGCAGCCACAACCCAGGGAGTAATTCTGTGTCCCATGTGTGGACTTTGAGCACTCCTGTGTCCCACTCACCGCTTCAGTGATACCAGGGACCCCTGCCTCGTGCACAGCAGACACCACCGCTGCAGGGGTCGCGGCCTGGTTTGTCACAGAGATGTGGTGGGTGATGTTCTTCAGGATCTGCAGCTCCAAATCTTGTAATAAGATCTGCAAGTTGTCCTTGCTGACAAACTGAGATGAAAACTTCCGTAGCAGCCACTCAAGAGAACTGTCTGGCTGGTCATCGGAAAACATAAGTCTGATCGTCTCTCGAACTTGGGTGTCCACCTGATAAAACCATTTGTCAACATGATGTAAATTTACTTTTAGTTGAAGCATTTCAACTCTTCATTTTCTCAACCTCAGATACCTCACAACTATCACATGGTGTCTCAAATTCTATACGTAAATGCAACATAATTTTTCCATCATGTTAAATTTTAAGAACTACTTCAAAAAATGCTGCACAATTTGAATAGAATGGGAGTACACATACATGATGGAATGGAAGCTAAAGACAGAATGAAGAAGACATATCTACTTTTTGGCAAGATGCCACTTAGTAAACATGACTCAGCTCCCCAGGAGTGAGGTGTGGCAAGGACAACAATTACAAACTTGAAATGTGACTTTACCTATGTAAGTCCATGCCCACATGTTACCCCTATACACGTACACACTTGTGCATGTAACTGTACACACACAATCACATATGTAAATCCTTTGACACAAAGAATGCTAGTTAAGTAACTTCAACAGATTGAGAGAAAGATGGAGAAAACTATAGATGCAATCAAGGAAAACAGACAAAATCAGGAAACAAATTGAAAAAAGGGAAACTATACAAAACTAGCAATCAAAAAGCCAGAAGATGAACACTATGACTTCAGAAATAGATAACACACTGAATGGGCAAAGAAATGAATCAATGGAAAGCATAGTTACTGAGCTTGAAGAAAAATCTCTTAATAATCAATCATTTGCTAGAGGAACAATCCCACTATATTTGTTTGTCTTACTGTGGTGGCTTGTGTGTTGCCATGATGCTGGAAACTATACCACCAGTATTTTAAAATTCAGCAGGGTCACCCATGGTGAATACAATTCAGTTGTTAGATTAAGACAGACTAGGAAGAAGGAGAGGCGGCCTACTTCTGAATGGTTAGCCACTGAAAACCTTACATATAACAGTGGAACGCTTGTCAGATAGCACCAGAACACTGAATATTATAAATAGTACCAGAATATTGTCAGCTAAAGGGCTGGATGATGAGCCTCTCAGGTTAGAAGGCACTCAAAATATAACTGGGGAAAAGCTGCCTCCTCAAAGTCGATTCAACCTTGATGATGTAAATGGACTAAAACTTTCGGGACCTTCATTTGCTGATGGGGCAAATGTCAGGTTGAAAATGATCAATACCAGTTTATTTCAGCTCACTACTGTCTAAGATTTTATGCATTCCATTTAATTTTTGTCAACTTCCAATTTTCCTAGATTCATATTTCTTACATTTAATATTCTGATTATTAATGGATTTTTAGAGCAGTTTTTCCTCATTTTGAATTGTGCCCCATCAGCAAATGAAGGCCCTAAAGGCTTTATTCCATTCGTGTCGTCATGGTCAACTACAGCTCTTTCCCAGAAATATTTTAAGTGTCTTCTAACTTGAGGGGCTCATCTTCCAGCACTATATCTGACAATATTCTGGTGCTCTTCGTCATGTTTCAATATTCAGTATTCTGGTGCTGACAGTGTTGCACTGCTCTTCATAAGGTTTTCAGTGACTACAGATTGGGAAGTAGTCTGTCTTATCTGGAAGCTCATGGGCCAGCAGTTGTTCCTCGGAAACAACAAGAGAGTAGACAGGGTAGGCAATATACAACAAAAGGAAGGTTAGCAGAGGAAAGATGAAGGTAGTGAGAGACACAGGGAGAAAAGCAATAGTTAAAGTGAATAGAGGGAAATACTGTTAACTGGTAGTACATGGAGGGGATTGCAACCATATAATGAAGCAAAGTATATGATTGGATGAATATAAAACTGATTATCTACTCTGTAAACCTTCAATTTACAATAAAAAGTAGAAAAAAGAAAAAGACCAAGACATATTCAAAATTATCAAAACCAAGAATCCTGAGAGCAGCTCAGGAAAAATGAAAAATTACCTACAAAGGAGAATTAATAAGACGAAGCTCTGACTTCTCAGCAGAAACCATAGTAAGACAATGGAATGACACATATCAAACTCTGAAAGACAAAAACTGCCAACCAAGAATCATATATCCAGCAAAATTATCCATCAAGTTTGATGGCAAAATTAGGTCATTTTCAGACAAACAAAACTGAGAAGAATTTGTAAAAGCCAGATCAACCTTACAAAAAGTACTAATAAGAGTTCTTTGGACACAGAACCAGCAACTGCAGACAATCTGAGACTAACAAACATGACAATTATCACCCAGAGTTCAACCCAAATATAGAAGCATGCAAAGTAAAACCGAAAATAAGAGCTAGAGATACAGTTGCAACAACAAAGCATAAAATAAAGAGGGAATAATCTAGTTACAGAACTTCCAAATGAAGAGAAAATCAAATAGATTTTAAGAACATAAATAAAAATAAACCTGTGACCCTAAAAAACTAGACCAAGCCTTATTCTTTGCCCACCCCTTACCCGTAATAGTAACCCCAGTCCTAACCATAACACTAAATGACGTCCTAGGCCTGGCCAAGACCTACCCCTCACCCTTCCCTAATCCTCACTCCAAAATCTTACCTGCCCTTCCCCCCTCTAAAAAAACAGAAAGTGAAGATCATCTCAACAGGCCTACATCAGCAGCTCCAGGGTGTGCGCTCTGTTATAAGACGTGCGGAGAGACTAGATACTTGCCTTCTCATGGAGTGTATCCACCTTCTCACAATTGGTCTTCAAGTGCCGCCAGCTAGCCAACTCCAACTGCAGCTGCTCCAGCTGCAACTCCAGCTGCCTGACAGTAGTGAGGAGGTGTTGCTCATCGGTGCTCCCACTGGAGGGTGACAGAGAGGTTACTTGGGGTATCCAGGTCCTGGGCCAGACGCCATACTGCCCACAAAGACATCAGCAAAGCAGAACCCTCCCTAGATGAAGGTCAGCACAGTCCAAAATCACCACGAGAATCTAACACTGTTTCTAATGGAGAACCCAGAGGGAGCCCCTCCACATGCATGCAGACACAGAGACACATGGGCAGGATGTCCACCCAAACGCTATACACAGTGGCCATCTTTTCACCCTTGAAATGACTTAATACTGAAAACCTTATTTGTTGTTATTGGGTGCTGTCAAGTTGATTGTGACTCACAGTGAGTGGCCCCATGCAACAGAGTAAGACTGCTGTCACCTTCCCGGGAGCAGCTGTTTCTCCCATGGGGCCACTTGGTGGTCAGCAGTAAGCACTGTACTATTGAAGCATCAGGGCTCAATTAAGGGCTAGACACATTAAGTCCTGGAAATCCTATCTAACACAAGGAAATGGGTCAGTATTTAGTCACAGAGATAAATTCAAGTGCTCAGGAGGTGGGGGGACAGTGTCCTGGACGCTCTGTTTCTCAGAGACACCATGTTTCTGTAGTTTGATAGGCAGGCATGTGGCCCCCAATGAGCTGACCTGTGTGTGGGGGTGCTCACAAGAGGGCCCTGATAAGAGAGTGAGCAGGGACCCAGGCACTCAGGAGAGGCGTCGGCACACTCTTGAATACCACAGCAGCACAGGGATTAGGGATAACACACCTGGCTGTTCTCCGATGTGTCTGCTCCAGCTCCTTCTGGATGGCCTGCAAGATGGAGCGATAGTAGGCTTCAACACAGTGAGGGACTGACCTTCACCAAAACCAATGTGTTCATCTGAATTTTTTTCCTTTACTTGTAGTCTCCACCTGCCTGGGGTCTCTCCAAGGCCATGCCTTGGACAATATGGGGTACATGTCACATCCCTGGAGGCCAAGGTCAGCTTCCTGGCTGGGTGTCCTCTGGCATATGCACCTGATTGCACCCCTCCCCCTGAGCAGCGGGCAGCACTGTGGACACCAGCTCACAGGCAGTGTGGGGTCCATCAGAAATTCATGAGTGAGTAGAAGCAACAGAACTTGAACTGCCAAGGGAACATGGACGGTCAGAAATATTCCTGTCAAGTTTCACAAGGGACAACAGCAAACACCCTAACAGAAATGCCATTCAGGGTGGTGCCTAAGGAACCCTAGACCAGTGATGGCAGCATAGTTAATTTAAAAATCACCTCTTTGGTGGGAGCCACGTGTGAAATGACAAGAACAAATACCTCAGATCTTTCAGTCAGTTTCCTCATTGTATCTTCCAGGTTTGTGATACGCAATTCATGTTCTTGGTGAAAGCTCATAAAGTCAGTCTGAGAGAGGAAAACCAGAGGACAGAGAGGAAGTTACACCAACAGCGCTAAGGTGAATCCATGCAGAGGGAAGCAGTTCAACTGGACATGTGGGTGCAGGGCCTGTGTTACAGGACATCCTCACTGTCCTGAGGGGCATAGCAAGAGAGGCCAGTACGTGCACCCATGTAGCTCACTGAGCATCGAGGGCATTACCTTGGGGTCCAGGGCATCCTTCCCTCGCTGCCCCACCACCTGGTGGAGTAGTGACAGCACCCCGTCCCGGTTGCCATCTGCCTGGTCAGGACGTTCTTTCAGGTTCTGGAGCAGAAGCGTCAGTTCTCTGAGCTTCTCCTCATGCAGCTGGCACCTTTCAGACAGCTTGGTCACCTGCTGCTCAACGTCATTGAGTTGGGGCCAGTGGAAAGCCGCCTCACCATTGCCCTAGAACGGTCAGAAGGGGTCCCGAGAGCCAGGCTCAGGAGCTGCACATTTGCACAGAGTGAGGCAGAGCCAGTTTCACTGCCTGAGTGCAGACCAAAGTGAGCACCATCATGTGGGAAGATTACGGGCAGTTCCATGTTCTTTACATGCCTATGTTTCCTAGTCACTGATGCAATTCTGTTTCATTCACACTAGCTGAATAAAGAATAGCATGCATTGCATGTGCCATTTCAAAACACGTTAAGGAGAGGATGACTGCTTATCTGGTATTGAAAAAAAAAGAGAAGGCTTCAAATAGCTTGTGGGAAAAATGGAGTTTTTCTAGGGACTTTCTGAAGCTTCCTTGTATCTCCTACAATAGGGTGCCCTCCAGAACACTGTGCTCACTGGAGCACAAACATCTAGGATGAAGATCAAGCAAAATCCAGGGCCCTTCCAGACAGCCTGGTTACCTTGAGTGGCGGATGCAGGTGAGAAATGTCAGATATGAGCATGTTCTTGGGGTCGTCCACCCTCTGTGCTCTGTACAAGTTTGACCAATTTAACATAGGCAGGAATGAGAGGAAATTGCCTTGATCCCAGAATGCAAGACTCAGACCTTGGAGCAGAGGAGAAAAACAATTGTGAACACACACACACACACACACACACACACACACGTCATACAGGGCAGTTCAGTCAACCCTCACTCACCTAGTAAAAGTAAGAGTGGCAGGAGCAGGACTAACAGCTTGCAAATATTCTGAAGGCACCTAGGAACAGAAATGAAATCAAGTAACTCTGGAACAGTGAAAGGCAGGGCTGCCCGCTCTTCATCATTTGACACAAAATACCTCCCATCCCCAATTTCAAAATGGAAACTCAGCCTATCAGAAACACAGTCGGAGTTTCCTTGGGAGGTTCTATAGACCCCTCACGGCCCTGGGCTGTGGAAGCTGCACGGGGGCAGGGGTCCGAGGACCAGGTACGGTCCTGACTTGCTGTCCTGGCTCTTTCCCAGCTCACAGGACTGGTTTGGAGAATTAATGAAGAATGTCAAAGCACTTTGTAAATTATGACATGATATGCAAATGTCAGACATTAATCTCAAACTATATCAAATAGAAGCTAAAGCAATATGAAACAACCAGCCAAATGACATCCTGTGATCAGCAAAATGCACAGAGCTGATGCGAAACCAGCGCTCTTACCTCGTAAGAAGGAAGACGTTCAGCCAAGACATCAGAGTAACGAACTGATACCATCCATACCCCAGCCACCAGAACACCCTGGAGGCTGCCTTCCCTGGAAGAGAACACTTCAGTCAATGCATGATGAAGATGTGCTTCTAAAAGGGCTGTTTCTGTGAGACATGCTAGCAGGTGTGGTGAGCATGCACAAGGAAGCAATGAGACATGATATCAGACAGAGTTACGTGCACGTGGATACAGAGCGATGCACTAGCAGTTGGGGTAACATGCACACGGATGCAGAGGGATGCTCTGGCAGACAGGTGCTTGTCAACGTAGCAGGAACACAAGCCAAAGCAGCACATAATGTGGAGAGACGCACAAGACATGGTGCAGATGCGGAAACCCAGATCCAGCTTCTCAGCTCTGTAACAGTCTAGCAGCTGGATGTACACAGAACCCAGTAAACCAAGACATAAAGAGCACTCACGCAGCACACATGTTGTTTGTTAGCACTTCTAAGCAATATGGAATGAAACAGAAGCAGCACGGGGACAAAGAAGGGAAGGTTTTTGTCAGGGGCACTTAGCAGTCAAAGCCAGGGAGAGTATGCAAACACAGAAACCAAAGTGACCACCTGGAGCAGTGATGGCCAACCAGAATGCTGACCAGAGTGCTGAAGACACCAGCCAGCCGGCAGTGGCGGTCCTGTGCAGCACCTGTGCCAGTGTGTGACCTGTGCAGACAAGGGGCGTTCAGACCACGCTCCCAGTGAGTGCATAGCACAGCCACACACCCACTGTCACCCAGCCACCAATGCTGGCTCCTATCTTCTCTGGGAAGAAAATCTCCAAACGATTTCAAGTCCCAGAAATATACTGCCTGAAATTAACACATGGAAACCCTGCTGTAGGCCTGCCTGCAGATGTGCAACTGTACAATGCAGACATCCCTTACAGAACCCAACGGGCTGTGCTTGTAAGCTGCCCTTTAAACATCTGCGGCTGGTACGTGGGAAAGAAAACAGTTTTCAAACAAATGAAAACTCCAGACACACCAGGGTCTAGGTGAGACAATCGTTACTGAGAGAAAGAAATGAAAATTATTTAGAAGACTACCATTTCCACGGAAATAGTACTTTAAAATGACTAATGTCTGTACACTGGATACCATCAGCAGTTTAACATTTGATCCGACAGAAACTGCAGACAAAGTTAGTGTTGCCTCGTCTTTTAAGAACAATTGCTGGGAGCATTTATCAGCTCAGTGTTTGCCTGGTGGCCCTCACAACCACATATAAATTCCAATATGGATGATATGTAAGACATTATAGTTTAAGAGAGTTTAAAAAATTTATTGCTTATGAAACAGTAAAGAGAATTATTTTTGAAGTTCAGCTTTAGCAACCTGCATAAGACACGACATGCCGCAATGCCCCGGCCGCCCTGTGTGACCTCGACTGCTGCTCATGGAGAGAGGCATGGGATTCCAGACGCTCCTTCTTCCCCATCCAGTCATCACCTGTTGGTTGCGTAACAGGCAGTTAATTTGACATCAGACGGCATGACAGCTGCTGGTAACCCAGGAGCCCTATTCCACAGACCAGTTTCAGCCACACACGCTCCCTGCCAGCCCATCCTAACTTGGGGACGGCATGCACGTGGGTCTCTCCTGACTTGGCAGGGGCCTGACTCCAGCCTGTGAGCAGTGAATCTGTACTCACACAGCAGCACTCCATCCACGCCGAAGTGCAAGTCCTTTCTGAGCTCGTCCACCTCTGTCCTCCCTCCATGCTCAGCCTGAGCTGTAACACAGTGACCAAGGCTCAGACCTGATGGCACACATCACAGGTGAGCACAGGTTAGCCCACCTGACGAGTAAGGTGACCCAAACAGCAGGACCCTAAATACCACCTGAGTACACGCTTTGCTTTGAGAAAAGGTGAAAGAATAAAAAGGTGACTGCGTTAGCTTAAAAAACTTGAAGCACTGACCATTCTGAAAATAGAATGGTACACTGAGCACAAAGACTCCTGGTGTGGCACTATAGGATCAGCACTGGACTGTGAACCACAAGGTCAGCAGTTCAAATCCACCAGCTGCTCCTTGGAAACCCTATACAGGGTCACTATGAGTCCGAACCAACTGAACAGCAATAACAGAGAGCACAAGGACATGTGAAAATTCCACTCAGAGAAAGTCGGCATGAGAGAGCTGGGGGAAGATGAGGGGAGAGAGGAGAGCGCCAGCCATGAGGGAGTCAGCTGAGGGAGGAGAGGCGCATATGAGAAAGCAAAGGGCTTCTCCACCTTGAAAGCATTATTTGGTGGAGAAAGGAGGAAAAAATGGTTTAAATACCTTTGGATTCATGGCTTTTTGATTCACAATCTTTGGATTCATAACTGCTCAATTTGTAACTCTCTGATTCGTAACTCAACTTCATTAAAACCACTTGGAAAAGTTGGGCTAAGAACGACGAGAAAGACGAGGTGCGTTTGGCCAGCCACAAGATGCTATTCTCGTAGAAAGATGCACTGCCTATCAAAAAACCGTGAGTACAAGTTACTTCTTTCCACAGGCTAATGATTACTCCCCTGAAAAAGTCAGAGCCAAGTGCTTAAAATGCAGGCAACCTGGACGCAGCATTCTGAATGGACGGAGGTCAAGCCACCACGACAGGCCTGCGTTTGAAGGGAACAGGCCAGGAGAACATACCCTCCTATGCGTCCTGCCGATCATCTCTAGGGGCGCTCTTCTAGAAAATGCCCAATATTGTCTGTGCACATACTACCGGACTCTGTAATATTGACAAATCACCAGCAGCCACATCCCTCGTGGCCTCTGACCCAGTGCTTACTCCCAGCCTGCCCCTTATAGCAGGCCTGTAGTGCTGTCTGCATCAGGGATGGACCCAGACAAACACTCACATAGGGCATACAGAAGGGCTCCACATCCTTTCATCCTTTTTGGTAATGCCACAGCTTTAGACGCTACGCCATGACCCCCAACATGGTTTCCTGTTACCTGAAATGTGTGGCGTGGCACTACACAAGCCACCGTGTCAGGATAAGATTTCTATGCTCTAGAAGGCTGTGTGCAAAGGGGAGGTGAGGAGCCACATGAGACCCTTGCAAGTGCTTCCAGGAGTCTGCTCCTCCCTGGACAACTGTGCAGCACACTTCTCAGACAACTGTCTAGTGTCATGCACTGGGAAACCACAAAATGCATGTGGCTTGTTGACTGCGGTGCTCTGTCTTTTCCCGGACAAGGCCTAAACCAGTGAAGGGTGTATTACAGTGATCTGAGAGAAACAAGTTTAGAACTTTATATTTTCAAATATTCTGAGTACTGACAAAGCTTTTTGTAAATTTTGTAGATTTAGATAAATCTCCAATAAACTTGGGCCATCACCCCAGAGCATCAGTGCCATATTTGTTTTCATTACGTGAGCTTCATTAAGAGACAAAGTGAGCAAAACTTTCTCATGAAGCGATCAGGGCACGGCTCATTGCAACACTGCTGATAGTAGTTCAGTGGGCCCAGCTCAAGTGACCAGCAGCACGTGCTAGATACACTTATCACTCAGCCATTGGGGGAATGAGGGCTGATACTGACAATATGCTGGACACATGGGAGACTGTCATTCAGTCCTACAGAGGAGTGAGGGCTGGACACACGGGGTCACTCAGCCATAAACAACTGACATGACACACGGTGACTGTCACTCAGCCACAGAGGAGAGCGAGGTTAGATACTGACATCATGCTGCTGAATGTGACTTAGAGGCCTGCACAAGTTACAGAATGGAGGCTAGTGGTCGCCAGGGCCTGAGGGAGCTACACGGAGGTGACTTCTGGGGAACACAGGGATTTTGTTTGAGGAGGAGGGAATTTTCAGAAAGAAAAGGTAGCGATTATCTGTACATCTCTGCGCACTAAATGGCTCTGTAGAACATCAGGTCGTTATGACGGGCTAGGGTCCCTTGCTAGTGGTGGCATCATGCTACGTAAGGGAATCCAGAGAGGGTACTGGTAGGGCATCCCACTTGGGGCATAGCCCTGCCACCATGCTATATCACCCTCCATGGCTCTGCTCACACAGACAGGCAGAGTGGGGGTTCTCCATAGCTGGGAACGCTGACCACTTATTGCAAAGACAACACAAAACCTGTCCTCAGAGGCCCCTCCCAGCCTGCCACAGCTCTGCCAGCAGCTCATTGCTCAATGCTCAATGAGGCCTGAAGAGGGTGAGGAGGAGCCAACCCAACATCTGGTGAGTTTCTTACACTGCTAAAGGGGAACTGAGTTCAAGTTTGTCACGGATGGATTTGTGACCCTGAAACTATGCTGTCCTTACCTCCACACCTGTGGGCATGGCCCCAAGTGGGAATGGTTTGTTATTCTAATGAGGCTGGTGGAAAGGGTGTTCAAAGTCAATTCCTTTCTGAGAGAGAAAAGGAGCAGATTAGGCACAGGAGAAGGACAAATGGGGAAATAGATGCCACATAAAAATCACCAAGGAACCAAGGATCAGCGGCTGGAAGAGACACTGATTTGCCCCCAAGTAACCAGAGCCTTCCCCTAGAGCTGCTGAGATGAATCCTGACTTGTAGCTTCTGATATGGTGAGAGCACACAGTTCTGCTATTGCAGAGCTAAGAGACCACAACAGTCTGTAACAGACACCAGGGCCCACAAACCAAGTGTACAAAAAGGAGACAAAAGCTGTGGACACTCAATCTTTTGCTGACTTTTGAATCAGTGACACTTACACTTCTGACTTTTGGAGGCAGGGTGTGTGGTAAGAGTATCGGTGCGTGCTGCAAGCAGGCTGCAGTCTCTGCAGGTGTAGCCGTTGGCGGTGGTGTTGATGGAGGCAGTCAGGTCACCGTTCCCCTCAATGGTAGCTTTATTTGCACCTAAGGTCCCAGCCACAGAGACGGTCTCCATTAGCACAGCCCACAGAGACCTCGTGAACACACGTGTGGGAAACGACTGAGCAGTGCTCACCTTTCAGGTCGCTGTCATCGTCCAGGCCTGCAACACACATGTTTGCTATTGAGACCGACATGTTCAAGCAGAGCAGGGACCCCCAAAAGGGAAGCAGCAAAGGTTACAAGTGCCAGTCAGACAAGCTTTTGACATACACACAATTTTCCCATTCCGGGTGAAAGTCACATCTTTATGGAACACACATACACAAACCCCCATCACACACATTCACAAACCTACAACTCTCCACACACATCAACACATAAATCCCAATCCACGCATACCCACCCACACACATGCACACTATTGGACCTAATGAGCAAGAGTAGGAGATTAACTCCCATCTTCCTTCTCATCGCTCTCCTGTATCTCAAGGCAGGCACCTCACAATCACAGCATATACTTCTGTTGCTTGGTAACTGCTCTTGATAACTGAGCAAAACAGTACGAACAGAAATACCAATGCATCCCAAAATTAGCACACAGAACAGTATGAACATGGATAGCAACGCTCCAACGAGCACACACAAGCTTGTGCTGCTAATCCGGATCATCTGATCTTCTCAGAAGGGTCCCAAAGCACAGCTGTGCCCACACCTGCTCGCCTCCACGACACTGCAGGTCTCATCACTGCTGTCTGGTCACCAGCCAGTGTCATGGATCCCTAGTGCCAACCCCACCACACTGCAATGGCCCATCTGTCCCGCTGCCTAAAGCTTTCTGGAGCTGGAAACTGCACTGACGAACTCACACACTGACTTCCGTTTAAATGCGTTTAGGAAACACTAAAGGAAGCAGCAGGCCAAAGCTCACGGTGACAGGGCCTTGGGCCACCAGTTTGTCTCCCATCAGTGAGATGTAACTATCCTGCTCCCCATAGTAACCTGAGCAACAGCCCCGCTTAGAGAAGGGAGTTAACTGCCCACTTTAGGAGGGCACTTTGAAACTGGGCTGCCCCACTCACCCCAGAAGTGATCCACCTTGGTCTGCTCCCGGATCAGAGATGCATCCAGCACAGGGGGCCTGAGGGCCATGCTGTCTTGCAGGCTGTGACAGCTACTCTGGCTGACCACTGAAGACACCGCTTTTCTTGAAGTGTGGTTGATGTTAAAAGTGGGTTTGCTTACACTTCTGCGCTGTTTCACTGTTCTACAAAGAAAAGAACGCGAAATAAGTGCAAATGCTTTTTAATTAAGCACAAAATCATTAAATTTTACTAAGGCAAAAGCTAGGGCCAATCTAATTAATGGCTTATTTCCTCTTATGGCTTTCCTGCTGTAATGAAACCTCTATCGATCTAAAGAGACATTGAAACTGGGGTCCAGTAATGCCCCTCAAACACAAAATTGTTCTCAGATTTTGGGTCTCATGACTACTCTAAAAAAGTTTCAAAAATATGATTGTAAGTTTAACCTACTCTTCTCCCTATAACTGTGAACATTTCCCAGTCCACCTGTGAGGACAGCAAGGATGTACTATACCCACAAGCCCTGCATTCACTGACCACAAGTCACAGAAATAAAATCTTTTATTAAGTGCTCTATGGGTGGTCAGATATGAAGTTGGGCAGTGGGGTGCAATGGTCCTCAACCTCCCTGGGAGTTAGTCCTGGGTGGAGGGCAGAGGCACTGACACAAAACAACATGAGGAATGCCCTTCTGAGCACAGGATCTCACTGGCTGCTGGGGAAGCAGGATTTTGGTATGATCACACTTTTCTGGGCAGTCCTAACACGCCATAGCATATTTGAACCAATGAGGAATCGTCAGCTGCCACCACAAACCTACTGAATCACTCTTCAAGGGGGAGAAGAACCTTACTCCTAACCAGATTTCCCAGATGAACCTGGGCGAGGCCAGGGGGCACCAGTTACGGATCTTAGGGCCCGGGTGATGGTTTTGTAACTTCTTCATCACTACTGTGCCTTGTTCTCCAGATCTGAAGCTCACTCTTAGTAAGACCTTTGGAAAGCGGAGCTCTGTTTCTGGGTGCCAAGAAGGTTCACAGATATATGACAATAGCTACACTGATGTCTGTGCCTAGTAGTTCACGGTGGTGGTGCCGAGCCATCACATTAGCTCCGACTCCTGGTGACAACGGAACAACACTGTGATGGTCCTGCTCCACCATCATGATTTTGGTATGTTTGAGTCCACTGAAGCTCTTACTGTATTGTGTCAGCCCACCTCACAGAAGGTGTTTCCCTCCTTTTCACTGACCTCCAACTTAAAAAACATGATGTCATTTTCTATGACTGGTTTTTCCTGATAACATGTCCAACGTAAGCAAGCTGAAGTTTTGCCAAGCTCACTTCTAAGAACACTCTGGTTATACTTCCTTTAACACTGGCTCGATCGTTCTTCTGGCAGTCTGTAATAGAATCAATCATCCTTGAATGCATCCATTCTTTTTCTGTCTTCCTTTTTCATTGTCCAGCTTTTGCAGGCTGAGACAACTAGAAAGACCATGGCTTGGGCGGAGCACACTTCTTTGCTCTTTAACACTTTAAAAGAGATCTTTTGCAGTAGATTTGCCTGATGAAACAACATTTCATTTCATGACTGCTGCTTCCACGGGTGTTGATTGTAGATCCAAGGAAGATGAAGCTCTGTGTCTCAGGATGCTGTTCAGTGTCTGCTTAAGAGGAGGTTTCACTCCCTCCTTTTCAGGCATCATCACATTTAATACACAGGTTCCACATGTTTTCAGCACAAAGACCCCCTACAACATGGTGTGATGATTTTAATTAAGACTACGCCGCTCAGACAGCATCTGGGAAGACAGCTGAAGTTCAAGTCCTCGTCAGGAAGCAGAACAGGTGTTCTGACCTGTGAACGCTGGTGTGTGTGGCGCTGTACTCACATCACTGGAGATAGCTGTTTCTTCACGGTTTCACAACACCAACAAAAAGAACTTGCAAGCCTTCACTCACAGAACACCAGCACCAGCTAAGCCTCATTCATTCATACACACACACCTGGACTTAAACACCACCACCAGCTAACCCACACATTTTCCAGAATTCATTTCAGACCCTACATACTGTGAAGCTATGAATTTATACACACACAGGCACACACCTGTTTTATGGACCCACATGAGACACCCAGGAGGATGCAGCAGAGCTGGGCTTACCTGGTCACCCTGTCCTTCATGGAGGCAGAACTCCTGATGCAGGTAGGGCCCTCGATGTCCGAGCCATCCCCCTGGGTAAAGGCTGGGGTGACCAGCCGCAGACTCCGGCGGGACATTCTTGGAGAATCAAAGACAGGCTCCAGTCTATGCTCAGTCTCAAAGTCCAGAGCTTCCGAAGAATAGCTGGAGCTAGGAGTAGAGGAAACATGTCAGGGGCATCACAACAGCCTGGTTCTGAAGCAGACTGGATGCCCACCTGCTAAAAACTTCAAAAAGCAACCACTTGCTAATTGTGTGATGACTGTATGAGGAAGTCCAAGTAACCCGGCACGTTGTAAATCTGCTCATGGAGACTTTTGCATTATATTTTATACTAGAAAAATATTTTTGGATTTATATTTTTTTATAAACTAATTAGATCAAAGACACCAGGAAATATGTTCAGTCGCCCCAACCAGGCCTGACTGGGGAACCTTCTGCTAGTCTAAGATACACGCAAGCCCAGAAAAGCAGCTAGTGGTCCCTGCCGCCAGGACTCTGCTCCACAGCCTGACACCTCAGGGACACTACAACACAGCTGCCAAGTCTCCACGCACTTCCAGCCCTTACCCTGAGCCTGCAATGCCTCACTATCAATCTGGTCCTCCAAGTACCAGCTAGTTCAGTGAGACAGGGTCTTCCCTCCCTGGACAGGGAGTCTGAGATAGGAATGCCTGCTGCAGGACTGCTTACAGCTGCAAAGACTAGGAGGTGCCCACCCACAGGAGAATGGCTGCATGAACTAGGATGGATCCTCATCATATAATGTTGTGTGACCATGAAAAAACACAGACACTGATATTAGAAAGATTGCCAAGACATGCCAAAAACAACCTATTTAACTTAAGAGACACTAAAAAAAAACCCCACGGATTCTGACAACTACATAGGTATATGAAAGCACACAACGTTCTGGAAGGTTCTTTATGAACTGATTGGAGATGGAAGTAAACAGGATTGGACTTTTCAGTGTTTAAAAGGGGGAAGAAGGGAGGACTAGACTCAGGACACGGGCCAGGGCTCTGAGTCCCAGTGCCACCAGAGGTCATGCATGGCCTAGGGGGATACTGTACCTGGGCCTCAGCTGCTTATCTGAAGGTCAATACATGCCCCGAGGATTCCATGTGCACTGTGACAGGCTGTGGAATCAAAGTCCAGGCTTTGTTGTGTTTCAGGGAGAAGCAGCATTTTATCCACAAGGAGTGTCTATGGCAGCCCTGTGTAGAGCAGGTCTGTGCTCACTCCGTGTCCCATGTGGGTCCATCCTTACATGGTGTCTAACTTTTCCATGCTGTTACACACTTCATAGACCACAGCAGGATGCAAACATCACTTTCAAATGCATGGGGAAAGCAAAGCCTGTGCTCTGACTCACTTTATTGCAGGGGTCTGGCATCCACCTCGCAGTGTCTCTGAGGTGTGCCTGCAAAACCCCTGGGGGAGGAGGGTCCCCTCCAGGATGAAAGAGAATTAAGTAGCATACATGGGACATCAGAGAGGACGGTGTAGACAAACCCCTGGGGAGGAGGGTCCCCTCCAGGATGAGAGAGAATTAAGTGGCATACATGGGACATCAGAGAGGACAGTGTAGACAAACCCCTGGGGAGGAGGGTGCCCTCCAGGATTAGAGAGAATTAAGTGGCATACATGGGACATCAGAGAGGATGGTATAGACAAAGACCCTGAAGAGGCAGTCTAGCTCTAGTCTTTAAGAGCATGCAGTTTAATTTCTCTTGTTATTCATTATTCTTTCAAAAATTTGTGACTATGATGCACTTTTTATACACAGATTGAAAAAAAAAAAATCTATCAAAAGGTAGCAATCAGTTATAGGAAGTGTCTTTCCAGAGAAATATTATCTGAAAGAACCTTGCTCTGAAGTCCTGAGGGTCAGCCCTGCTGGCCCACCAGAAGGAGGAAGCCAGATGCCTGACTGTCTACAGGCTCCTGGCCATGTGGTGAAATCAACACAAGAGTAACTTTCACTACAGACACATGCCCTTTCCCCTTCCCTCAGCAGGCTGACCTGTAGTACAGCAGCCTGTAGTCACTACACTGGACCCACCAGCTTGCAGCCTTAGACCATGCCACCTTCCCAGACACTCCCTTCTTAGCGTATACACAGACAGATGCTGGTGTGACGGACTTATCGTTCCTTCTTCACTGTCTCTCCCGTGGGAAACATCACCTCCAATCCGAGGCTGAGGGGCTGACATTACCAAGTGCAGAGCACGTACAGACACATCGTTGGGATCTGGGGGGCTGCGAGGATGCCTGCAGCAGGCTCCTGGGACCCAGGGTCCTCCCTGACTAGAGACAGAGGCCATGGTCATCAGTGGCTGTATCCACTAGGTGACAAGCAGATGAGACATTACAACAAACCATTCAGGCTGACAACACTGGTCACCGCCTCACAAAATGTGACATGTACTCATGCCACCAACCAGATAGTAACAAGCCTGAAATGGATCCAACTTCTCAAAAACTGCTAGTTTTAGGAAATACAGATGGAGCAGTCGGTGAGACAAACCACTAAAATGTAAGGTGAAGTTCCTGGTTTGAATGGATTAAAAATGTTGTTTTTGTTGTTAAGTGCTGTTGAGTTGGCACCGACCCATAGCGATCCTGTATAGGGTTTCCAAGGAGCAGCTGGTGAGTTTGAGCCACTGACTCATGGTTCAAACTGACTTTGCGATCCAGCGCATTAATTCACAGTGCCACACCAATAATCAAATGTTAAAAAAAAAAACAAGAGACTATGGGAAATGAAAACATTAACTGTCTCATCTATTAAGGTTGTTGTTGTTGTTAAGTGCCTTGAAGTAGATTCTAGCACATAGTGACCCTGTATAGCAGAGAGAGAGACATTTGTTCTGCCAAAGGCCATTTGGATATTTATAACATCATTCACGGGCCAGACAAAATCATCAACTTAAAAATTAGCCTGCTATATTTGATCAAACATTTAATTAATTCATCCCTAATTTGATGGAGTCCTGGTGTGGTGCTGTGGGATAAAGCACTGGACAAGCTGCTTTATCCCAAACTCACCAGCTGCTCCTTGGAAATCCTATACAGGGTCTCTATGAATTGAAACTGACTAGACAGCACTTAACAGCAGCAACAACAATGTGAGGACTGTAACTGCAGTTGCCTTGGCAGGGCCAGATCAAATGATTTCACAGGACTTACATGGAGTCCTGGTGTGGTGCTGTGAGTTAATGTGCTATACTGCAAAGTCAGTTTGATCCATAAGGTCGGCAGTTCAAGCTCATCAGCTGCTCCTTAGAAACGCTAGACAGGGTTGCTATGGGTCGGTGCCGACTCGATGGCACTTAACATCAACAATAACAAATGGCACATGGACCGGAAGTTTCCCATCCCTGCTGTTTAGTCTTCCAAGGAGCAGCTGTTGGATTTGAACTACAGATCCTGTAGTCCAGTCCAGTGCCTACCCTATAATGCTACATCAGAAGTCTTAGTAAATTACCTTTTTGTTAAAAGTTTGATATATTGTTGGTTGTTATTTTTACATATTATGAACTTTAAGAGAGCTACTATCTAGAGCTTATGTTCTGGTGCATCACGTGTTGGTACCTACTGAGGTCAGCTGGTGTCCACGGCCTGCTAGGCCCCAACCCTCCAGTAGCACCTGCACAGCCACAGCTCCTGAGTCCTGTTTCCTCCCCTCCCCTCACCTCTCAGGACCCTCCCCAGCCCTCGAGTTCCAGACCAACGTGGTGTCCCTGGAGAAGAGCGGAATGAAGAGAATCTCCTCCCAATGGAGACCCTGATGCATGCACTGCTTACACCCACACAGAATAGGCCATACGAGTTATATGCCAGTCATGATACAGAACAGACCACCTTTTCCTGAGGAGGCCCACTGTCCACAAAACCGAGAACTCTGGAAAAGGCTGAGTGTGAACATTTAACTGTCTAATGTGAGACCCGACTAATACGGTGGACCTTCCAAGGTTTCTTAGGTCTGACTACATGTCTGCCTTGTAGAAGACAGGCCACCTGGGGCCTGTAACAGCTTGCTGGGCACAAGATGTCTCCAACTGTCAACCAACTAAGTGATCTAGTCCTTTGGCACTGACCCATAACTGTGTAATATTGAAGCTTCATCTCAACCATTCTTCCTACCTGGTCAGCTAGAAACAACCAAGGTAACCAGCAACTTCTAAAGCAAAATTCAAAACTCCAGTAAATGAGACACAGAGCAGGAACACAGCCTGGTGCCCCCAGGACCCCATCTTATGATGGCTCCTTCTCAGAAGGTAAGTGTTGTGCAGGCTAATTCTGTGAGCTCTAAGATACAAATCACAAAACCCTAACCACAGATGGCTTGGGTGGGGCACAGCAGCACTTCATGGGCAATGAATGACTGCTGAGTCACCCAGAGCTGGCTCAGAGACACACGGTTTTCAAAATTGCTCCCAACACCCGAGTCAGGGGAAGCCACGGTGTGAACCCTCTTCACGGTTCTTTTCCCTGTGAGAAAGGCACCTGGACTGCACGCACTGTCCACCCAACTACGGGCCCATGGGTGGGCACACACTCACACACACTCACCTGAGTGCATAAGTGTAACCAGTGTTCTCTGGCACACACTGAGGAGGGGTGTACATGTGGAGTCGAGAAAAATCCATGTTCACGATCTCAGATCATACTGCAGAAGGTGGAGAGAAAAGGAAGGCAGGGTTTTTAAAAGAGTTAAGATTATATAGATGCCAACTTGTGTTACATGCACAAGACCAACTACAATATCGCTGCCAAAACTTTCAAGGAACAGAGCCAGATCAACCATTTTGTTTGGACTTTTTAAAGGAGACAAGTTTTCTAAAAGTTAGGGGTCCACAATTCTTTCCATTATAGTCTGCAAAATAACATACCGACTAAAAAGCAACCAGGGGAACCCTAGAAGGAGGTTGCTAGGAGTCAGAATCGACTCCACAGCAGTAATTATGAATGTCAGGGTGCTTTCAAAAACAAATACTGAAAGTAACTCCGAATCCTTTCAACTTGGGAGTCTCAACTTCCTGAGGGGTCAAAATGTGGCCTATCCTTGTACTAGCTGATCTCTCAGCTACAAATATAAGCCATGTTCTGATACATGCTACTACATGGATGAAACCTTAAAAATATGCTGCTGAGTGAAAATAGGTCACACAAAAGGACAGAGCCTTCAAGGTCTCAATCCTAACAAGGAGCAGGACAGGCAAGGACAGACATCATGGTTTCTCAGTGGTGATCAGGGGCAGGTGGGCAGTGAGTTTCTTCCGTTCACAGTGATGGTTGCACAACAGGACAGATGGAACTGGTATTAATGAGCTGAGCATGTGAGAGATATGGAGCTGGAAAACCACACTCTATGGCTGTATGTATTTGTTGTTGTTAAGTGCTACTGAGTCGGGTCCCACTCACAGCGACCCTGTATAGGGTTTCCAAGGAGCACTGGTGAGTTTGAACCACCGACCTTGTTATTTAAACTGACCTGGTTGTTGTCCAGTGTTTATCCTATGGCCGCGCCACACCAGGACTCCCTCACCCATTCTCCCTCTCTCTCTATAAAATGTTCTGTGTGTGTGTGTGTGTGTGTAAAACAAGCACCACATCCTGGTCGGCAGATGCTCTTCCACAATGCTGTCGAGCCTATTGTTTCTCAAGTTGTCATGGAGAGTTCTTTGAAGTGACTCAACCTTTCGTCTGGCTAAAAATGCTCTCACACACACCCAAATCTAAAACGCTTATAGACACACCCAAATCTAAAAACACCCTCATACACATCCAAATCTAAAATACTCACGTACAAGCAGTCAAATCTGAAACACTCACATACACAAATCTAAAACTTTCACACACATATCCACATTTAAAACGCTCACACAAACAAATCTACAAACACTCACACACACCCAAATAAAAAACTCACACATCCACATTGAAAATGCTCAAACACACACATCTGAAACGCTCACATACACACATCTAAAACAAACCCAAATAAAAACAGCTTGTGCTGGAGTAACATGAAGCACATAGCTGCTGTTGACGGAAATCTAAGATGAAATGAACAATAAAGGATATCCACGACAAAATACTTTTGTACAGATGAATGAGTTCTACATCACTTTAGTTCTAAATGATTCAAATGACTGAAGTTCTAAACCACTCCAATCCACACTGTCTTTAAATCACTCAAATAGCTTTTTAAAATTTAAGTACCCATAGAAATAATGACCCTTGTTTATATATATATATATATATTAATTTCAACAAAGCTCTCAAATCTTTAAAAACATTGCAGAAATGTTCAAGTCTCTTCAGAGACACCATTCCTTATCAGTCCTACCCAGAACACTCACCCAACTAGTATGTTGTTGTTGTTAAGTGCCATCGAGTCGGGTCCGACCCATAGCGACCCTGTACAGGGTTTCCGAGGGTGTAAATCTTTACGGGAGTAGAAAGCCTCATCTTTCTCCCGCGGAGCGGCTGGTAGTTTCGAACTGCTGACCTTAAGGTTCGCAGCCTGATTCGTAACCACTACGCTACCAGAGCTCCTTACCCAACTAGTATACACAGTCTTATTTGGTCCGTTGTGAATATATACTTAAACCTCCTCTGCAAATGAAACTCACATTATTTCATTCATGCATGTGTTTAACACCTGTCCACTCTAACAACACTTAAAACACAATTTAGTGATGCAAACAGGACAGAGATCTGGTGGAGCTGTGTGTGGCTGCTTGGTGCGCTGAGCTCACTTTGCATCCCCATACAGTTCTGGTGTGGCACTGTAGATAAGCACTGAACCAGAGGGTTGATTTGAACTTAAAAGTGGCAGTTCAAGCCCACCAGCTGCTTCTCAGAAACTGTACTGGAGGAGAGTATTGAAGGTGCCATGGGTGCCAAAAGAACCAATAGATCCGTTTTGGAAGAAGTGTAGTCAGAGTGCTACTTGGAGGCCAAGACGGCTAAACTTCGTCTCTCATACTTCGGATATATTGTCAGGAGGGACCAGTCACTGGAGAAGGATATCATGTTTGGTAAGGTGGAGGGACAGAGAAAAAGAGGAAGACTCCCAATGAGATGGATTGGCCAAGTGGCAGCATCGATGGCTTCAAGCGTGGCAACATTCGTGAGGTTGGTCCAGGATTGGGCAGGTGTATGTTCTACTGTGCATAAAAGGTAGCTATGGGTTGGTTGTACTGACTCGATGGCACCTAACAACAACATTAGCCAAAAATGACTTGATATCACTTAACAACTGTCCCTAGGGAGTCCTGGTGTGGCATGGTAGGGTAAGCACTGGACTGCTAACCACAAGATAGGCAGTTCAAACCCACCAGCCACTCTTTGGAACCCTAGCCCATCCCCTGCTGCCCTGGCGGTAGGCTGCAGCAGTGGTTTCTAGCCTTACTGCACCGGTGACAACGCTCACACCATTCATGGTTCTCATCCGACTCACTTCTTAATCCCCTGAATCATTCATTCACTGACCAGGCTGCACTGCTAAACTGCATGTCGGCCCTGGCTTTCTCACTGCTCAGCATTATTACCACGAGTAAATGCTAGGTTACCATGGCTATCAGTACAAATGACTGAGTTTTGTGTCACTGAAGATAAAGCTGTCTCTATCAGTATTTCAGTACACACTGAGTGACCGCCACATCTCTGGATGCTTAGGGAACTGAGAGCTGTGAAGACAAGCTCAAAGCCTGAAGCCCCAAAGGAGTGCGGGTCAGAGAGGTCGAGTTTGCAACCCTCATGTGAATAGTACTGAGTTGCCCACTGCTGTCCAGTCAATTTCAACTCACAGAGACCCCATAGGGCAGAGCAAATCACCCCATGAAACAAGCAGACTACCTCATCATAAGGTCGAACAAATTGACCTCTAGGGTAGCAGCTGGGTGCTTTAAGCACTGCCCCCAGGGCTCCTAATCTGAACAGTATTAAGATGGTTAGTGAAAACAGGTGAGACGGTTCAGAGGCATTGGAGCAATGATAAAGTCGGCAGGAATCTATAACCCAATACTTGTCAGATAAATGTAACTATGTGAACTGCAGGAGGATGACGCCCGCCCGCCCGCCCTGTCACACTGCAGTGTGCACAGGACAAGGTGGTGCCTGAGCAGCACAGACTTAGGAAATGCGCACAAGTGTGAATAGCTCAGAGGAAACTTTTGAGCAGGGCTTTCAAATTCAATGCCACATGTCTCATAAACCAGACTGGGTTGTCCTCATCTCTTACACTGCTGACATTACATGCTACAGATGAGAACACTGCTCCATTTTAGTTCAACCACTTTGCTCAAAAATGGATTTACGTCCAACCCCACATATAACCTGAGCCTTTACTGTTTATTTAGAGTATCTGTGCCATCCAGACAAATGGCCGGAAAATAGCAAACGTTACCAGTCGCACGGGGTTAAACAGGGAGCTCCAAGCAGACGGCTGGCAGCAAAGGAACCAAACAAAGCTATAAGGTTCCCAAGTGAGACGAGTGCACGTTCTTGTCTTAGCTGGGCTCACGGTCCTCTAGAAAACCTGGAGGCAGGCAGCACTCAGAAACAGGACGCACACCCACTTCATTGCTATGCACCCTGAATATTCCCACTGAATACAGAGGACCATTTCCTACAATGGGGAGAAGCAACTGGGATTTGCCCCCAAATACTCTACGTGCCCTAAGGCCCCCAATTTTCTATTAGCTGATTTAGTCGCAGGCCACGTGAATGGAGACCAGAAGAGAGTCTGGCTTAAGGAAGGTTGCCAACAGGGCTGAGAGAGATGGGGGTTCTCATCCAACAACCTGCTACCAGTTACGATGGTGGGGTGGAGATCCACAGCATCACAAGGCTGCAACGAATGCTCAGCGCCTACAATTCTCAGGCACAGTGTCCCGAGAGAATGCAGATGAGTGTCTGCTACAAGCCCAGCGACTGTTGCCAGGCGACTCCTCTGGGGACAAGGCCATGGAGTAGTGCCGCCATCAGCCCGCGAGCCACACACCTCAAACAGCCACAAGGTTAGGGATCCAGTCCACACCGCAGCCCCAAAATGGCTCCCATCGCCTCCACAAAGCCAGCCCAGGAATCTGATCTGCGGGGCGGTGCCACCCACAAAGGCCCAGCCCCCTGACACAGTTAACCAGTTAGTTCCCTAACAAGTCCACAGTAGGCTCACCAACCTAGAGCCACTTAAAAAATTTAGCTAAAATGAGGAAGTCCCCTATACAAGTGAGTAGTACTGAATTCTAACAATTTAAATCAGATCTTAAGTCTGTTTAAACTAAATAGCAAGGACTAAAAATAAAGATTTGTAATTTGCCTATAGAAAACAAACTGGGTTAGAAATCAGTATTTTTCAAAGATTACACCCAGGACAATACACTGGAATACTGGCTTCCATCTTGAATTTCATTTTGAGATAGCAAAACGATACTAGTTTCTGAAAGAACCAGAATTTCTACTAAGGGACTGAAATGTCAGCAAAATGAACTCATTTTAAAGCAAGCAGCAAATCACAAACAAGACTCCCACCTACAAACACTGGGAAAGGGCTTTGTAGAATGTTGTTAAGTGACACTGAGTAGATGCCGACTCATAGTGACCCTGTCTAGGGTTTCTGAGGAGCGGCTGGTGATCC